TTTCATAACTCTAGAGTAGTGCAATGTTGGAGAGCAATTTTATCTCTACCTACTCTAGCGTAATACGCTAGAGTAGCGCAATATTGGAGTTGCTCTAAGTATAATACTTTTCCAGTATTGAACTTTTTGGCCTTATTTTTTACTAGGGAGTATATAGACTGATTTTTTTTTTAAAAGGAGTTATCTGGAAATTGATTTTAAGATTGGAGATTTTTCTATAAAATGCCCATATTAGAATGACAAACTAAGTCTGAAAACCAAATCTCATTTATTTATATCTGGTCAATTTATATGAATATTGATTATGACTATCTTAATAAAACATAAGATATAAGAGTAATGAGCAGAATTGAGCCTTTTTTTTTCAATCAGAATAAACTTCACGAGCAGAATTGAGCGTGAGCTTCCGATAATTGGATTGGGGCTCAAGCCCAGTTTAATTAACTTAGTGAGATCGACTCGTAAACGGGTCGAACTCAAACCTTAACAAATCGAACTAATGAGATAATTAACGAATTTGAGTCCGATGTTGCTCATTTCATTTGACTGCTTAGGTATAGTATTTTCTTATATTTACCAATATAGAAAATAATTAAATATGTGATCTACGTGTCACAATTCCGACAAGCACTTAAATTTTATTCAAAGCATATTCTTTTGCAAGGTAGTGGATTATTGTTTTTGATTTTTGTCATTAGGAATTAAGTATATACGTCATATACGTGTCACATTTCCCACAACTTTAATCTTGTCCAAAGTTATAATTCTTTTGCACAATTGAGGGGAAACTATAAATTAATAGTACACAATCATAAGGAACAATCAATTTGTTTGAAGATAAAAACTTTAATTAAAAAAATATACACATAAAAAGTTTGTGTATATCTCCAAACAATCATTGCCCAAAAATTAAGTGCCAAATTAGCAACAAAACACAAATGGAAAAGAAAAAGATTAATAAAAATATGAAAAATGCTACGGCCTCGTTACAGAATCATCTCATCGGGGTTTTGTAGTCGTTAGATCATCTTGTAACTGTCGGGGATAATTGATCTAACGGTTACAAATACCGACGGAATGATTCCGTAACTGAACCATAGCATCTCACCTGAAAATATATAGTGGAACTATGTGATGTATGGTGAACAAAGCTTTGGTCACAAAAATATGAAATCCCATTATCAAATGTTGGCCCCTTAACAAAAGAAAGTGGGGGTTGGCAAATATACTACATTCACACGCCCCTATCATAAAATAAAAATAAAAAAATATATATATAATGTACATGACCATATAGTTTTGCTTAATTTGGGGTTGGCAAATATTATACATGTCCATGATTTATTATTGCATATAATATGCATAATAATTAATTAATAACCCATATAACTTCACTCACACTATCACACATTGTTTTATACATATTGAGATTTTTTAAATTGCAGATTTTTTATCATTATATTTGTCCCACATCGAAATAAGATGAAAAATGAATGTAGTATTGAAAGTTAGTAATAAACAAAGTACATTTTCGTTAATGACGGAAAGCAAAGTGGTCTCTTTTTTTTTTTCTCCTTTTTTTGGCCCTTTTCACTCAGAGATGTTTTAGGAAAAAAAATATAAGAAGCGAAAGAACAAAGCAATGAAAGTTTTGAAGCATAATTTGGACAGTTAGGGAAGTGTGGGCGGTTGGCAAGTAATACTTTTTGTATTTTAGATTTTGAAGTGGATAAGGGGACCCACACACTAACATTACAAAATATATATATATATATATAATATTTTATGTAAAAATGACAAAAAAAAAAAAACACAAAAATGATTAACATTTAAAATACATTTATAATTATTCAATAGTTATAATAATAAATTTTATTAAAATACAATTAATAAATTTAACATGACCATAAATAATCAACATATTTATGGATAATACGGACTTAATTATTTTTGGGTTGGAAGTAAATTAAAATCTACCAAAGTCGAAGCATGTAATTTTGTCACAAAGGATCTCAAAGCATGCGAGTCTGCCACTTAGGGTCAGCATGTTTTGAATTAATATATATAAAAGAATGAATTAATTTATCTAACCCTTAAGTTGTCTCACTTAAAAATTTGTGTTACATGAATTAAATTTTGAATATAACCCAAATAAACAACATTGACCCCAATTTTTATTATTTGTTTTATGACATAAGCTAGTAACATGTGTGACATATTGCTGACATTATTGATTCAAATAAAATTAAAATTTCAATCAAAAAGCAAGCTTTTTTAATTTCATGACTTTTGTATACTTTAAAATTAAAGCCGCGTGAGAGTTTAGGGTAATGATAAATACAACTCCACCTCACAATAAGTCTTTCTTTTCTTGATTATTTAGCTTCTTGATTGTAATACATCAAGGGCCACACATTGTCTTCTATATATTCATAGATTTTATTTTCATTCTTTTTTAAGAATGATCTTGGCTATTAATGTGCATATATTATTATTATGATATTAGTTTGGAACCAAATTTTCAAATTTATCAAACTTTGGAGTCAAAATTTGGGTCCAAAGTGTATGGGTCACTCTATTGCATTGACTACACATTTCTTCAAGAGAAGTATTAATAAGAGGATTTACAATTTTAATTAGGAAAAAGATTATCTCTAAAATACTGACAGGTAATAATTAATTGTTAAAAATATGCGAGTGAATAAGCAGTAATACTGATTATTTTTAACTTTGAAGTTATGTTGGTGATTTAGAAGAAAAAATAAAGATAAATAAATAAGGAATTTTATTGAAAATATTTTCATATATAATAACCATAGAAATATCTATTGTTCTTTTGTATATATGTAATTGTTAATTCTAATCATGTTTCATATCATATTGCACTACCACTAGTAACAAAATTCTATAGACATTAGGTCTAAACTATAGGTTAGTGCAATAAAACACTTTTATACAAATGACAATCATTGATAATATAGAATATATGAGGAACAATAATTAGGTTAAACTTAGAGTGCCAAGCTCAATTTCATTATCCCACATCTATATACCCATCTATATTATCTATATATCACTTTCATAAAATGATTGTATTCACATAGATACATGGTCTAAAATACAAAACTTAAAGCACATAAATATTATGACACAACTTTTTCCTTGTGTAGTGCAATGTCCCCTCCAACTTATTATACATTTCATAACATTATCTTTTTGGTACCTACACTATGAGTTTCCACATTGTTCTATTCTTATTGCCAAGGTGTACAAAAATTTGGTGGGGG